ACTATGTCACTTTTATTGATGACTTTAGCAGAAAGGTATGGGTCTACTTTCTGAAAAATAAATCTGATGTGTTTGACACATTCAAGAAATGGAAGGCTATGGTTGAGACTGAATCAGGTTTGAAGCTGAAATGCTTACGATCTGATAATGGAGGAGAATACATTGATGGAGGTTTCAAGGAGTATTGTGCTATCAACGGTATCAGAATGAAAAAAACAGTTTCAGGCACACCACAACAGAATGACATTGCTGAACGGATGAACAAGACCATCAATGAACGAGCTAGAAGCATGAGGTTGCATTCTGGGCTACCTCAAACATTCTGGGCTGATGCAGTTCATACTGCAGTTTACTTGATCAACCGTGGACCATCAGTACCTTTGGAGTTCAGACTGCCCGAGGAAGTCTGGAGAGGAAAAGAAGTACAGCTTGCTCACCTAAAAGTCTTTGGGTGTGTTTCCTATGTGCATGTAGACTCTGATGCTCGCAACAAGCTGGATGCCAAATCAAAGAAATGTTTCTTTATTGGCTATGGAGATGAAGAATTTGGATTTCGGTTCTGGGATGATCAGAACAGGAAGATTATCAGAAGCAGGAACGTGATCTTCAACGAGAAAGTTTTGTACAAAGACAAATCAAGTACAGAACTAGAGATAACTGATTCAGATACGAGTCCACAGAAATCTGAATTCATACAATTAGAAGGGCTTCCTGATGTTACCACTCAAGAGTCCACACAAGATAGTTCAAGCACTTCAGTACCCACCACTTCTACACAAGATAGTGCAGAGCCAAGTGAACCAGCTGTTCGCAGGTCTTCAAGGACTATAAAGCCTCCACAACGGTTCACACTTCTACTGAATTATATCTTGCTGACCGATGGTGGTGAACCATTAAATTATGAAGAATCCTTACAAGATGGAAACTCGAGCAAGTGGGAGTTAGCCATGAAGGATGAGATGGAGTCATTGCTGAAGAACAAGACTTGGGAGTTAACCAAACTGCCTGAAGGAAAGAAGGCCCTGCAAAACAAGTGGGTTTACAGAGTAAAGACCGAGCATGACGGAAGCAAACGGTTCAAAGCAAGACTTGTTGTAAAAGGGTTTCAGCAAAAGAAGGGGATCGACTATTCTGAGATATTTTCTCCAGTTGTGAAGCTTACAACAATCAGAGTTGTTCTGGGGATAGTAGCTGCAGAAAATTTACATCTTGAACAATTAGATGTAAAAACAGCATTTCTTCATGGAGAATTGGAGGAAGACATTTACATGCAACAACCAGAGGGGTTTGCAATACCAGGAAAGGAGAGTCAAGTTTGCAAACTAAAGAAGAGTCTATATGGTTTGAAGCAAGCTCCAAGACAGTGGTACAAGAAGTTTGATAACTTCATGAGTAGTACGGGATACACAAAATGTCAGGCTGATCATTGTTGCTATGTCAAACATTTTGACAACTCCTATATCATTCTACTGCTATATGTGGATGATATGTTAATTGCAGGTTCCAGCATGGAAGAGATTGACAAGCTAAAGCAACAGTTGTCAAAACAGTTTGAAATGAAGGATCTGGGAGCTGCTAAACAAATACTTGGCATGAGAATCATCAGAGACAAAGACAAAGGCATACTAAAGCTTTCACAGGCAGAGTATGTCAAGAAGGTTCTCAGCAGGTTTAGTATGGATAATGCTAAGCCAGTATGTACACCTCTGGGGAATCATTTCAAGCTCAGTAAAGACCAGTCACCAAAAACTGAGCTAGAACGTGGATACATGGACCAGATCCCATACGCCTCAGCTATCGGCTCCTTGATGTATGCCATGGTCTGTACTAGACCAGATATTGCCCATGCAGTGGGAGTTGTAAGCCGATATATGAGCAATCCTGGAAAGCAGCATTGGGAGGCAGTGAAATGGATCATGAGGTACTTAAAAGGCTCATCGGAGACATGTCTTACTTTCACAGCTGGCGGTTTGAAACTTGAAGGTTTTGTAAATACTGATCTAGCAGGAGATGTTGATAGCAGAAAGAGTACTACAAGTTATATATACACTTTAAGAGGCACTGCTGTTTCTTAGAGTTCTTCCTTGCAAAAGATAGTTGCTCTTTCAACAACAGAAGTTGAATATGTTGCAGTTTCAGAATCTGCAAAAGAGCTAGTATGGTTACAGAGTTTTCTACAAGAATTGGACAAGATGCATGGAAAGGGTACTTTGTATAGTGATAGTCAGAGTGTAATCTTCCTTGCCAAGAATCCGGCATTTCACTCCAGAACAAAGCACATACAGATCAAATATCACTTCATCCGGCAATTGCTCGACGATGAACAACTGTTACTTGAAAAGATCTGTGGAAGCAAAAATCCAGCTGACATGTTAACCAAAGGAGTTATTCTTGATAAACCGAAGCTGTGTAAAGCTTCAGTTGGTCTTCAAGATTAAAAGACAGATCTAGCACCATTTGTGTCCAAGTGGGAGATTGTTATGTATGGACACAAATAGTAGGTGGCAGTCATGTGATTGCAATGCAAGAGTCAATGGTAGGTGCCTAACCAAAGAAATTGTTGCCCACCATTGTTGACCAAAGGAAGAAGATTGTCTCCCACTTCAACTATAAATAGAGTGTCATTGATAGCTGAAGATACCACGAAATAGAGAGAAACACAGAGAGAGTTTAGAGTGAGAGTTGAGTTGAGTAGAGAAGTTTTTTCTCCTCCTTGTTTTGTTGTTTGTATTGCTTTCGAGCTTCATTAATACAAATCAGTAGCTCCGTGAAGTAGGCAAGTTGCCGAACCAGTAAATTGATGTGTGTTTGAAAGCTTGAATATCCTAACAGTGGACACTCCATCCATCTGTAATCCCAGTCAGAATATCTACACTTTGGAGTGCTGGTTGAAAAGACAAGTCAGTAGCAAAATTAATATCCGGAGAGCGTCAATCAATTCAGGTACAAGTAATTCCAATCCTTTCCAAAATCTGGGTGGGTTAAAAATTCATTCATTTCATACAATAAACTCAAAATACGCTCAAGCAATGCAGTTAGGTGCATAAAGCAATGTAAATTAGAAATATGTATGCTCACCCCCACCCAAAACCTTTAATATATTAATTCATAATCAAAAGTCCATTTGCTTTTATTGACAATCCAATCTTCTGACAAGTTTGTTCCTTAAAAAAATAATTTTATAAAAATATGTAGAACAAGGCCTCCAAAGCCAAATTGGAGGATGCTACGCACTAGAGATGACATATCGTAAGAGTAAACAGCTTCTATCCTAATTTCAAACTAGATTTCATTTTTTTCAGGTTTTTGTTAAGCTGCAAAACCAAAATAGAAAATTGCTATTGCAGTTGCCTGTTAACAATCCAACCCGTATACGATAAATTGAAAAAGTCATGCAACTCCAAAATTGTTAACATCGATCAGTTTGAACCTCTACTTGGCTCCACTGAAGCTTCACCATCAACCAAAAGTATTAACTACAAGTTTGTCACATGGAATAAGAATTTGAAACAATCAACTCCTAACCAGAACAGTTTAAAAATATAGCATAGTAATATAGACACAGAGGAAAGACATGAAGCAATTAAAGAACATGTAAGCAAAAATCTAGGGGATGTGTGTGCAAGTTTGTGTTGGGGGAAGGGGAGAGGAAACAATAATCTTACTAATCTTTGGCGTTAGAAGACATCTTTCGTATATCCCATAGTTTGGTAGGGAGGAAACAATAATCTTACTAATCTTAACATCTTTCGTATATCCCATAGTTTGGTAGTCTGATCCTTTCCATTAGAAATAAAGTAAAGCCCATCTCCACGACTATCTATGAATGTAATGCCTTCTAGATGTCCCATCAAGACCCTTGCTGCTTTCCCTTTTGAGATAAAGCATCGCCTATCCCACACCTGTACAAGTTAAAATAGAAGATTAGTGAAAATTCCTTTATTAAAAAAAAATACCAATTAAGAGATGCAAAATTAGTGCCAAGTTAAATTTCTGCAGTCTTGAAAAGGCATCATTATTTATTCAAAATGGCTTAGTTTCTGGTTAGCCTTATATGGCTTGAGACAAATTGACAATTGTAGTAGCATACAGTAGCTACCAAGGCACCAGTAATAAAAATTCTGCTCAACCTACAGTGAGGCAGCTGCAAACTGGTTAAACCAGAAAGAATATCGTGTAGCACTTTGGAACATGATGACATAAATCTTCAAAGTCAAATGGATAGCTTTTACCTTACAGAGGTTATCATCACTTCCAGAATATAAGAGATGGCCAGCTTCATCCGCAAAACAAACCGTGTTAACATCAGACTGCATGAGAAACAAACATAAGATCATGTGACATATCCAAAAACACTAAGCCCTGCTTGAGAGTAAGTTGCAAAAATTTAACAATTGCATTTTAATGACTCTTGCCAAGAAATAGGTTCACAGATGTTCCATGTAAAAGTTCACTGAATATAGACCTACCCTGCATTCAAAGAAGGGAAATGATAGAGAAGGGGAGAAAAGACAGTACGAAAAAGAAAGGGAAACATCAACTTTTGTGCAGGTAAGAGAAATAATGATGCAACTGTATGATTTTAGTGTAAACTTCACTTGAACCCATGTACGAAAAGCAACAGACTTGGCTTGCTGCTTTCTTACTCTAAAATATGGACTGATGAATATGCCATATGAATAATTTTTCTAACAAATTAAAATTGAGAACAAAACAAGATATTGTCTTTTGCAATGCACAATAGATCTATCAGTCAATAGGTAGGCAATGGTTTGCGTTTTTGGTTGCAAAGGAATCAGATAGACAATTTATAGTGCATTTCTGTCTATAAACTAAAAACTCTGAGAGGAAGTAATACAAGAGGAAAGTCGCTTACAGATTGTCTAGATGTAACTCAAACCTACTTAATAAATTCCCAAGAAACAACACATTCTAAGTTTCAAAAAATCAATATACTACGTATGATGAATCGTATGATACCTTATGTGCCAGAACTCGGAGGCTGCAACTATTTGCTTCAAGATCATAAATATATATTGAATTATCACTACTTGCAGCTACAAGCTCTCGCCCATCAGTTGAAAACTTTACAGAGAAAATCCCAAAGTCATCATAATCATCATCATTGCCAGAAAAATTCAAAACATCATGAATTTCCTGCATATGGAAACTTTGATGTGAATGAAACCAATGACCATATTCTCTTTGTAAGATTAAAGTGCTCAAATCTTGATTGATCACTCTGCGGCACTAAAACAATGAAGAAACAAAATGCATAGGTTCAAGTTATATTCTTTAAAATTCCCTAGGAAAAACAATGGCTGTCTATAAGAGGACAGCTAAGTGAGCCATAGCTCAGGGTGCTGGATTGCCTCTATGGAGCACAAAATGGTGTGCTCCAGTGAGCATCTCATTTAACAGATCAGATGATCAAAAGCATCATGACCATGGCTTGATATTTAATAGTCATGATAACATGGCCACCCGTCAAGAATAAGGACTACTTCACAGTGCTAAATAGCATCTAGCCAAACAATTGTGCCCTATAGCGCACCAAGTAGCACACATCATTCAGACACTACAGCCATGGGTAGAACATCCAATACACTCATTGCATAATTAAATAAATAAAATAATCCCATCTATCACCGTTTGTAACAGCAATGCAACATGTTAATTCTGAGATGATGACCCAAAGGCATAGTTCTGTAAGATGAAAGCTAATATCACAACAGCTGAAAAGATTTTAGCCTTTTCATCCTACACTGAACGATAACATATAAATATAAGAAACTAAGAAAAAAATACATCCACAACAAGCATGGCACGTGGCACACATACCGTTACATTTGCCAGTGACTCTGTTGCAGCAGATTCAATATTCACAATATGGACAACAGGTGACAAACTAGCATACACCTGCACATTAAAATTGAAGGTAAATGGAATCAACAAAGGAAAGCACTGCATCCAAGTTATAAAATTAAATCTCATTGCACGTCAAGTCTACAAATCAGTTCGTCCCCAATGAAAATTGGCATGGCTAGACACGAGTGGAAGATCCTGCAAATTATACTTGCAATAGTATAGAAGCCCAAAAGATAATCCAAGTTTTATCTTCTACCCTATATGGTGCAACTATTTCAAGTATTGCATAAATCCTGGTAAAATCAACAGCAACAGTAAAAGCCATTAGACAGGAAAATAAGGATGAGCTGTAAGCAATTAATAAAATTATGCTGGCCAACAACAAGCACAGTTCCAAAGTTAGGCTAAGTTGCAGTATGCCATTAGACAAATTGACTTATTGTAGACAACCAAAAAGATATAAAGACCTAAAACAACCAAGTAACCCTTGTTTAAGGCTGTTTATCCCAATATAAAAAATTAATTTACAAGGGAGCACTTACGCCCTGTCCATAACAATCCAAAACAATGATATACACACAATCCGGAATTCAAAGAGATTGAATCTAAAAATGCATAGAGAGATGATCATACATTCTCACAGACACACTCACACACAAGTACAACAGGGGCACATGTCATAAACAGGACATGATATGCGCAATATAGCAAGACTCGGCAGGCATATAATCCACCAACCTGTATGTTAAACAAAATCAAAGAAAATTTCTGCTCGGTACTTAATTAATTTGGTAACAGGTCATAAAAGAGGTGGTCCGCCAAAGAGACAGTCCTCCACTAAACCCAGAGAACCTGCATTAATGCATTGAACTACAGTATAATAAGAGATGAAAAGGCTCCAGTAAACCCAGAGAACCAGAACTAATGCATTGAACTACACTATATGACTACAATAATTTACTTCCTATCTTAGTAATACATAAACATCTTTTTTCCATCTAGAATCATCAGAAACTTACAAGATAGTGCTGATTGGGAGAAAGACATGCATCAGTGATCGTCCATCTTAAACTTTTGGCTAAAATGTCCTTCTTAACTTTCCATCCCTTATCCACATTATATATCCTAATGTGGCTTCCCTGTTGTACAAGAAAAGTTTTTACTCAAAAAATAACTTTACAAACAGTCCCATTAATTTAAGTATCCCCAACTATTTATGAAGGATAATGCCTGGTCGAGAATAATAACTTTATTTTCTGCCCCAAGTAAATGAACAATACCTGACATCCCGCAATGAAAAGAGTACCGTCATCTGAAAACTGAGAAACATAAGTCCTACTATCCAACTGCTCTACCGTGCAAGACCATTTACAGGCAAATATCGACTTAAAACATGACAACTATCTGCGGATGAGAATCTCCCTCTCCCGGAATAGTTACCCTCTCGACCAACCAACATTTTCATAGTTGAGACGGGCAGCCTCGACCTGCCAGGCATGTCCTTGCTCAAAAGCTCATGAGGCCGTGACCTAAGCTTTGTGAGTTGAGCAATCTCATGGTAAAAAATCTCATTGGGTCCTTGACTAGAAGAGGATCCCTCGGCAGCAACTTTATCACCACACTGATCAGTAATCTTATGTATCCTATTCATATTATCCTTATCCTCAAATTCCTTCAACAACCCACTTCTAATTTACAGCCATGGATGCTGAAACCCTATGAAGTTACTTATTATCAGCATAGACAACAAATCAACTGCCCCACTGTCCGTCAAATCCTGCGAAACAGAACCATATAGGCAAAAGAAATGAAAAGGAAGTTTTTCATCATTTGAAGAATCAAATGAGTATCTAACCATCGAACTGTATAAATTCAATACCTTAAGGCAAGAAAAGATAACAACTTTGAAATTTTCTCCACTCAAAGCAAACAGATTACTTAAATTAGCATCCAAACATCAACTTTATTAAAAAAAAAAAAACAGAGAAAAGACAAATGAAATTAAAGTAGTGAAATGATCCTAAAATTCCCACTTCATGAAATTAAAATAGTGAAATGATCCTAAAATTCCCACTTCATATTGCCAATCAATATGCTTGTAAGAGAAAATCAAATGAAAAATAAATGAAGTGGAGATAAATAATTCAATAACTTCATTTAGTTGAGATAATAAATTATAAAATAAATATTAAACAAGTTATAAATAGGACCGTTGTTGTCTCTTTAGTGTTTGATGATCAGGATTCAGTGGTTGAAAACTTGTAATGAAGGAAGCCAAGCACAAGGGCAGAAGCAGTCCAGTTAACCAGTGATAAATCTAAACTTAACTAAACTAAAAAAAACCTTTTAAATGCTCAAAAACTAAACGTTCCCAGACCCACCTTCAATAGAAAGAGCCATCAGCCCAAGCATTCATGGGCTTCGTCCAGATAAAAAACCTACCCCCTCACTCATGAGCTTAATTTTTTTTTTTAAAAAAAATCTAATCTTATGAACATTTAAAAAAAAAACTTAATTTTTATAAATTTAATTTTTTAAAAAATTCCAACTCTCATGAACCAGCCTTGAACAAAACCCAAAACCTGCATTAGGAACAGAACTGAATTTCTATGTATTCCGGATTATATATTTTTTATATTTTTAGAAATATATAAATTCTTTTAACATTAACTATATTTTTATTAATATTAATATTGTGTAAGAAATAATATATAATTTTTTTAAGAATTTATTATATTTTTATCACATTAATATTTATATAAAAAAATATTTATTTCTTAATGAATATGTCAGAGATATGTTTTCTTATTAAAACTACCAAGATAACATTATATTTCAGTCTTTTTTATTAAAAAAGAGATTCATGAGCTATAAATATATCATGAATCCTTTAAAACTTCATATTCATAATCTCTATACTCAAGTGCATATATATTTTTAGAATATCTTTCTCTAAAATATCACTGTATATATTTTTTAATCCCAAAATTTACTAAATAAAACCTTTTGCAATTACCGCCTCCAATTATTTTGGTTTACTATGCAGTAGAAACCAACCATTTTGACTAAAGTAAATATCATGAATATACCAAGTATGACATCGGAAACAATGAGTAAAATTAAGTATATTATGTGAATGCAAAAATATGTTTTCCTTTATAAAATATATTTTTAGGGAGGAAAAATGATATCTTATAAAATATGTCTCTTGAAAGAAAAATAGTATCAAAATATATCTTCAAGGTAGGAAAATAACATCTTATAAAAAATACATTTCGAATAGGATAATGATTTATAACTAGTCAATTATGAACAGAAACTATGATTAGTAAAATAAAATTATGTTTGGTATTGCAGTAGCTATTATGGTTGTGGTTTGAAAAAAATTATTTTATAAAAAGTATTTTTAGTTAAGGTTGGTTTTTTTTTTTAAAAAAAGATGTTTGGTTAAGAATACTTTTGAAATTGAGGTTATAAAATAATTTTTAAAAATATATATTAATATTGATAGTTTTTAATTTAAATATTGTAAATTTAACTATTACTATTATATCATGAAATAAATAATACTTTATATAAAATATTTTTTATTATTCTATTAAATTTTTTAAGAGCGCAACAACATAGGTAAAATATAATCAGGAATAAAATTGAAATTGCGATCAAATTCTGCAAATAGTATGTTATCAAGCGATCTTCTTCTAATTTTTGTAGTGTTATTGAATAATATTTAACACTAGTTTTTCAAATAAAACACAATTAAAAATAAAAAAAACATTTTTTTTTGTTAGATCAAACCCTATTCAATGTATTTTTAGTGTTGAACTGAATTGGTCCGGCCAGAATAGTAGAGCATGCTCCATTGTTCATGGAAGAAAACCCATGAACAATGGATCATACTTCATTGTTCATGAATTTTTCAGCTCAAGAAGCAGCAAATTATTAATTGTTGAAAACCTGCCGCCATACCACAATTAATAGTAGGCCCCACTAATATAAATATGTTGTTGAAGCATTACCAAACAATTAAATTACTGTGATTGTTTTAAACGTAGAAGCAACTATGCAATTAAATACATTCTAAATTAATTATAATAACAAGAAGTATAATGTTAAAATAAATAATATTAAGGATTATAATGTTAAAAATAAGTTGACTGCAATCATAAACTTTAAGATTAAAATAAGTTACAGTAAGGGGGCTATAATGTTAAAACAAATCATTCGAAATGATAAAGATTATTATTATTATAATTATTGTTTTATCAAAATACAAGTATATATAAAAATAAAATATAACCATACCAGTAAATCCATATATATGTGTGTGTGAACAGACTCCTAACCAAAACAAAACCGGATATAGCCAGGTCATGCATACATTAACCAACTATCCAGGTTGCAGAGAGAAGCCTATATCTTATACACAAAGAACAAAGAGGGGACAAGCTCCCTGCAAAAAAAAAAAAAAAAGGCCATGCAAGGCCAAATCCCACAGTGTGCAGTAAAGGTTAAAGAAGAAACCACACGATGAGTGGAGGTGTCTAAACGAACCCAGCCAGCAACACGAACCGTCCAAAATCCATACCAAACACCCGGTCTCCACAGGAGCCAAAACCAAGGCTGAACAATCCAAACTGACAAAGTCCAGCAACAACACTTCAACAAATGACAGAAGGAGCACAACAAACATCAAACCACCAGCGGCAGCCAACATGATACAAAGAGCAGCTTGATCAACATGATACAAAGAGTAGCTTGATAACCACATGAAGATGAGCAAACGGGGGCTATGGAATCAGCAAAGAGACATCATTCTCAAACAAAGAATAGGAGAGCAATAGACAGACAGAGGTCAGACATCAACAGCAAATGACCAGACTGGAGATGCATCGCAGCATAATCTTCCAGCTAGTTGACGCAGAAAACTAGCATTATTAACATAGCATCCAGCAAGCAGAAGAGAAGGCGCGAAATGAATCATCCAGCAACAACTAAGTGTTGGGAATTCCGACCGGTGATGTACTGATATTTGCTCATAGGAGGGCCAAGCACACTGACACAATATTTAACGTGGTTCGGCAAAATCGCCTACATCCATGGGAGAAGTCAATATATTTAGAGATAAAGAAAGAATACAAAACAAATACATGGAGGAGGAGGATTACACCCTCTCATACTCAACTCTCTTTGCTTCACTTGCAGCTGCTGCCATTGCAGCTCTCTCTTCCTCTCTACTCTCTTCACATTTTCATAATTCTCTTCACTCATTTTGCTCTCTTGCATATGCCTCTATTTATAGGCATTCATGAAGGCT